TACCGGGTTTGCATTAACCAACGGTACGATACAAAGTACCAGAGTTAGCATTCATCGGGTAATAATAATAATACATCGGAAATCTCGTTGAAACAATAAAGTTGTGAGACCCTTCACGGTGTACTTATCTAAGTACGACCTTTTTAAGTCCTGAACTATTAGCCAGAATCTCTTGTAGGGAGAGCGTGAATTTGTGTATAGATCTATATGGGACTGACAATCCCGCACCTCTACTGTTCGCTACAGTTTGGTCGGCAGGTCTAGGGTGTCAAATATCATACCATTCCGACGCCTGAAGAACGTCGCAGCAGGCATTTCCGTCATATTAGTATGGTTGATAGGACTCACATGGATAAAACAACGAGTGAATTACAAAGTAATATACTTCTCTTATAACAGTAAGAAAAGTTAATTACATCCCGTCCAGATATACCTTCAGTAGCTTTTACTTACAGTAAGAGCTATGTAACATGAAATCAAGTATTGTACTTCTGGTTTTGAACATTTAAAACCACAAGGCAGTATTTTGGATAATACAATACTCTCCAGGATTAATACTAAGGTTTTTACTATAGAACAGATATAACTAAGAACACTTTTACAAATGAAACGGTTTATGGGATTAAACCACTTATACCAAGGAAACGGTTTATGGGATTAAACCACTTATCAAATGAAACTTAGTCATTCAATCTTTGTAAACTAGTATAACATAAAAGACATTTAGTGGTTAATTCTATAATTCCTTAGTTATTACATCAGAGTTGTACATAAGTAATATCCGATTGACAGTGAAATGTGTGACTTCCGCCTTACTTCCTGTTCCTTGTTTGGTTGTGGGCTTAGGGCAGATACACCCATTTAACTGTCAATTCAATATTATGTTATGTATATTCAGTATAAACTAAGTAATTACAGAGGGAAACTATTGAGGTTATCAGTTAGTCACCTCAGGAGATATAGGATTTCTTAGAGAAACCAGTGAACTTATTCAAAGAACTTAGGGTATACTTAACAGAACTAAAATACTTATGAACTCACCAGCTTAAATGCTGATCTACTCTTTCCAAATAACTTGTATTCTCAGGAATCCAGTAGACAGGTATACTCTCGAAGCTTTTGAGAAGACTACCTAGTACCGTACCGTGACTCTTGTCTTCTCCTGTACCTACTTCAGTGTTTGAATATGTAATGTTTAAACGCTTATGTAAAACTTATACTTATTAATGCAATGGTTGTTTGTACTTTGATTACTATATTGCATGTGTTGTGATACTTACCTAAAGTCCTCCGCCCCCGAACGTTTCCGCCGTTCTGGTTTGGGGGTGCGACACAATGCCACCGCAGTGGCTGCCGATGAATCCCAAGACTGATAAAGGTCGACGTCGCGACTGCGTGTTGTCGTTCTCAGAAGCGCACCCCTCCTCTTTCTGTCTCGTCGTCGATTACGTCACCCGTACTGATCTTCACTGCTTCTTCTTCGTCTGTAGCATTGTGACGACCCGCCGCTGTGCTGCAACCGTTGAAGACGAAGCCGCCGCTAAAGCCGGTGGTTAGCACTACTGTTGCTTGCTGTTCCGCCGTCCTCTGATCACTGCGCGCCACCAGGTGGGTGGTGGCGTCCGTTCTTAGCATATGAAGTCGAGTGCCGATGCTGCTAATGGTGTGTGCACATTTTCTGTTGGCCAGAAGCTGTAAGGGAACCACCATGGCTGCCAACCATGGTGGCTGCCACCTTGTACCACCACCGGCCTCCACGAGGATGGTTGTGCGTGTGTGTGTGTTATGTTGTATATGCGTTTTATTTTGGATAATATGTTGTATAATGCATTGGTATGGCCAGAAAATCCGAAATAACCCGTCACCACCACCGTGACATGGTGGCTGCCACCTCACGCCGCCATTCTGCCGCCACCAGCCGCCACCTTGGGTGGCGGTGTGCTCTTGTGTGTGATTCAATTGTTTTTTTAGGATATTTTAATGTGTTTGATTTAGAATCGTAACCACCACCACCACGAGGTGGTGGCCGCCACTGTGAGCCGCCGTTGACCACCACTACCCGAGGTGGTAGTGGGTGGTGCCCGACTTGTTTAACCCTAAGTGACCCAATGAAGCCGTAATTGACCTAAAAGCCTAACCATTTGACTAATTGGCACACGATTGGGTTCGAAACCCCAATTAGGGTTTAGAAAACCCTAATTGTAGAGATGTGAGTTTTGGAATGGATCGGAACCCGCACTGGAATTTTTTTATTAGACTTAAAATAGTAATTAATAATCCTTTGCAATTAACTTAGGACAGTATTGGAATTAATGGATTAAGTCCTTAATGGGTTAAGTAAGAACACTTAACCCTAATCATCATTTCATGTGAGAAAACCTAATTTTGGTTGGGCCTTGAGCTGGGCCATTCCTGTTGGGCTTTGGTGATTGGGCTATTGATGGGCCATCCAAGAACAAGTATACAGACTAGAATATTTGGATTGGGATTTAGGATAAGGACCATTGGAAAGGCTTGGGCCCAATTTGGAAGATTGGGCCATAGGTGAGCCATAATTGGGCCTTGATGATTATGAGATATTGGACCATTGGAATACCAAGGTTTGGACTAGAATAAATGGTTGGGCCTTAAGGCAAGACCATGTAGAGGTTTGGGCCCAATTTGGAAAATTGGGCCATATGTTGGGCCTTGGTTCATTGATTCGTTTTTGGGCCTTCAGAGTGTGTGTTTGGGCCTTGGGCTTGGATCAAGCTACGTTGGGGGTAAAGTAGTCTTTTTACCCCAAGCATGGACTTATGGTTATGTATTGGAACCCAATTATTATTTGGGTGTTGTTTTGATGTTGACAGTTCGGGAATCTGTCATCCAGCAGTTAAAGTTTTATCTGCGGGACTTCGGCAGTGTGAGGTGAGTCTCCTCACCATACCAATGGGTCGAAGGCACCAAGGCCGACCCATTTTGTGATATGTGGTAACTAGTTGATGTAGTGATATGTGGTATACTATTTGGTTATATGTTGTGTGGTATGTTAGTTGTTTCTGTGGTATTGCATGAAAGACCATGGGGGTGCCCATGGCACTTGGTTGTAAGACCATGTGGGGGTGGCCATGGAATTCCAGGTACCATGGGGGGTGCCCATGGCACTTGGTTATAAGACCATGTGGGGGTGCCCATGTCATTCCAGGTAAAGACCATGGGGGGGGGGGGGGGGGGGTGCCCATGACACTTGGTTATAAGACCATGTGGGAGTGCCCATGGCATTCCAAGTAAGACCATGGGGGTGGCCATGGCACATAGGTGTAAGACCATGTGGGGGTGCCCATGGCATCCTGGAGTAAAACCTTGGAGGGTGTCCAGGGCATCCTTATATGTTTATATGCATGGCTTATGTGATTGATATGGTTTATGCGGTTATGTGGATTATGTGGATTATGTAGGGTATGCTCTGGGGAACTCACTAAGCTTCGTGCTTACAGTTTTGTTTATTGTTTCAGGTATCATCGGTTTGGAAAGGAAGGGCCCGACTTGATCGCAATGCACATACCCGTGTTCCGCAATATATGATTTTGGGACGAACTCTGATAATTGTTTTAATTAACCATGTTTTTGGAATGTTTGGATTTAGAAGATATCTGTGTTTTGACTATAATAAAAATAATTTTCTTACCCTTGATTTTTGGGTCGTTACACATTGTGTCCCCGCATATTTAATTTAAACTATAATATATATATATATATATATATATATATATATATATATATATATATATATATATATTAGAATAGTATCTACATGTATTAGTCCTCACATGTTTTAAATACATTACTAGTCTTACTACGGCTAGGCTCACCCACTCTAATCTCATAAGATAGGTTTATGGTGGTTTCTTAGATTCCTAATGAGGTCGGTTTTTAAAAGCTACATGCTTACCACCCTCACAGTCTTTTTACGTTTTGAATGGAGTTACCGAAGGGTTTGATAGTATAATGTTTCTGTAAGTCCCAATACTATGGATCTTATACGATATCAATCTAAATTGCTTAATGAATGCAGAATGTTAAATAAGCAATGATTCAAGAACACGAAATAACTTCCAATGCACACGATCTATTAATAATAAATCGTCTGGTACATAGAAATTCTAATGGCAGCCGTGAACGAAACAATGGAACAATTAATTCTACTTCATGACTGAAAACATGTATATATATCAAGCACTAGACAATAAAGGCCCAAGCCCATTGTAACCGAAATCACCATAGTGATTTCGGTTCTTACATCCGAAAACACATTCAATCCTAATAATATAATACTAATTTGAGCCCCAAGGACAAATATCACTATAAGCCCAGCATAAACCACAAAAATATGACCCAACAATCTCCCCCTTGGTTTATTGCTGGCTGACTTTACAGCTTGTCTACAAGATGAACATCAGACTGATCGAATGCCCCAGCCCACACCTTCTTGTCAATTATAGTGGCAACCATCCCAGTGAAACCTTTACCAGTAGCTTCAAATAATTCATTTTGAACAATAAGCTGCAAATGTGACAAAGTATGAATATCACGTTCTCCAAACTTCAATAAATCTTTGGGATCGACAATGCCATACTGGCCCTTTTTTAGCTTGATCACCGCCGATGCGGTAACCTCATCATAAACCCAGAATTGCATTGAGTCCAAGGTTCCTTCTGGTAAACATTTGGGAAGCAAAATACTTTTAGCTTTCTTTGTGGGTGGCCACATAACGTTCACCATGGTTTTATTAGTGTGAGGATCAATAACATCCTTAGCCTTTTTCGTGAACGATGAAGCAGTCTTCATGCCTTCAAATTTATTTTTAGCTTGATCCACAAGAAACCTATTAAAATCCCAGGCCACAGAGTCATTGGTTGGATTGTTGAAAGGAGCATGAACAAGTTCAGCAAGATCAAATTTTGTCCAGGACATAAAGTCAGTTGGCTTCTCAGAATACTCAATTCGACTGCTCTTTCGCTTCACGACCCGCATTCTCCTGTCAGCATCATATGCCCACATCAAAATGCAAGAGCGATCTCCATACGTGTCAGTAAATTTCTTCCCAGTTTCCCTTAAAAACATTTCAGGGTGATCACCTGGAACATTCTGATCCGAATGCTTCATCACCAACATATTCCCTTTCAGCTGCTCAATTCGAGCTTGCTTCTCTCTTATTTCTTGAGCAGAAGAGGGACCAGAAGATAAAAAGGTGTCAAGATTCGCGTCCGGAGTAGGTCTTACAACTCTTTCACTTGCATTTTGAGAAGGTTGATTGACTGGATCAGAGATATAAACATAAATCTTTTCGCCTTCAGCGCTTAAAGGTTGAAAATCATCACCAAACTTCTGATGTAAGTGCTGTTTCAGGTCAAAGAATAAAGTAGTTATACCACCAAGATTCGCTTGACGTTTAGAAATCTTTGCATCTTTAATAGAGTTCTCCTGTTCAAGGTTAGAAACTCTCACATCCAGACTACCAATCAGTAAGTCCTTCTCAACGGACTCCTGCTTCAAAAACATAATCTCTTGTTTGAGCTCAGAGATGGTTTGATGGGAGTCTTCATCACCTCCTTGCCTGGAGCCAATAGATATTCCTTTTCCTTTGGATTGAGAAATGGAATCTTGAAAAGCAAGTAACTTGGCTAGTTTGACAGATGCATCATCATGCTCTGGAGGTGGTGGGGCAGAAGAGCTTCCCGAAGTAAATGTTTCCTCATTAGCCATTTGACTGTGAACATCTTGTTGGATCGGGGCTGGTTCAATGATTGGGCTTTGGATATCTTCTTGAACCGAGGCTGGTTCAATGATTGGCCTCTGAACATCATGAGTAACTTGAGTGGGCTCAACAATCTGAGAGGGCTGTTGTACTGGCTCAGTAGAAAGCACTCCCGGCCTTGGATCTTTACGTCTTTGCTTTCTTGGCACTAAGGAGGCGTTTGAATCAATTTTATCACTCTCAGATGGAGAATCAGAAATAACAGGAACCGCTTGGGGAGGCTTCCTTGTAGTTGACTGTAGTTGAGCAATGAGAGCATCCATCTGTTCGGGTGTGGGATCATTTGACTGCTTAAAGATATTGACATCCTTTTCCGTCTCAGTTGGAGTATCCACATCCTTACTGATCGACTCCTTTGGTGGTACATACATACGAAAATCCATTCCATTATCATCACTATCACTATCATCATCATCAGAATCATCAACATCATCATTAGTATCATTGTCATCGTCACTATCAGAAACCTCAAATGAAGAACTGAGATTTGATCTTGCTGGAGCTACATGCTCTTCAACTAATATTGCAATTGGAGTACTAGAAGCTTGAACACCTTCTGTCTCTACAAACTTTCCAAATTTAACTAACTCTTTTAATCCTTGAAAAACGACTTTGTTAGATTGTCTTGATTGCTTCATGAGCCCAAAAGTGTTAGGACCAAAAGCTTTCATATCCAAGGTATCAGAAGATCTCTTGATCTGGGGATATCTTTCATTCAGAATCGTCTGAAGAAACCTAGGATACATTAAAAACGAATCCTTCTTCTTCCCTTGGAGATTCCTTTTCATTTCTCCAAAAACATACTTTGAAAAGTTGTAACTCCAATTCATTGTTAATGCAACAATGGATGAGGTCGTAGTCTGACTAAACTCATCAAGTCCACTCTTCTTTCCAGAAATGCAGCTCACGAAATGGTGTGCCAAAAACCTCCAGTAAGGTGGCAGCAGCTTCTTGAGGGTAGGAGGGTAGCTTCCTTCATAGCACATCTTCTCAAGGACTTCCTTCACTTGATTAACATGGTACTCAATTGGAAACGTAGGAGCATCATCAAACTTAAGTACATCTCGAATAATCTGCTCAGAAATGACTACTTGAGTTCCCTTCACCACCGAATCAATAGAACCATCTCCATCCGCTCCCTGATCATTGATTGAGGCATTTTGCCAGAAATCAGCAATCAGATCCTTGTAGATGATTGGATTGGAACGCAAAGCGTGAGAGATTCTGCAATTATTCAAACCCACGATCATGGATTTGAATTCTTTATGAGCAGCAGGCGGATCCATAAGATATCCAACAACATTGTGATTTTCGAAAAACTTTAATTGATTTTCCATTTATCTGCACCAAACGAGTCAAATGAGAATATATAAAAATATAAAATTAAAATTTATTTTCTCTAAAATCAAGGTTTGATAAAAAAAAATTGATTTCGGTCGGTCTGAAGTTGTTTACGGTTGATCAATAGTTGATTTCAGTCAAATCGTTCATATGGGAAAACCACATTTGACCAAAACGTTTACGGATAAGCCACAAATGACCAAAAAGTTTACGGATAGACCATAGTTGACCAACACATTTACGGTTAGCTTTATTAGTTTACGGACAAAGCAATTGGGTTTTCTGTAGGATCCGAATCAATTCGAAAACCCAAAACAAACCCGACGATTCATATGATAAACACTCCACCGGAAACCACCGTCAGTATGCCAGAAAACGCAATTAGCTGCATGTAAATACCTCAAAAACACAGTAAAAATTGAAACAAGATGTTCGAACAATGCATACCTAGAGAAAATTTTAATAACTCGAGTGAAATTTGATGATTTTTGAAACGAAAAAGATGTTTTCTCGATGAACTGAAGAAGGTTTTCGTCTATGGTTGGAGAGAATGACAGCCTGATTACGATGAGAGTTTTCGAAAAATGAAGCGAAAAAGGAAAAATCAAAGCTTTTATACTTAAGAAATATTGGGTTCACGGTCCATTGGGCTTAATTTAAAATGACTCAAAAAAGACATAAGAAATTAAATTCGAAAATAAGTAAAAAATAAAAAATAAAATTTAAATAAAATTAAAAAATATCGTATAACAGAACACACCTGCATGTTTAGCTCTGTTCAATCACCAATATTGTGATCCACTTAAACACAAAGGATATTGACAAATTGGACAGATTTTAAATGACAAGTCATTGTGATTATATTCCTAAATGATATTCCTTAATAGACCATTTGATTGAGGACGAACAAGGATATTGTTGTCCACCTAAATTCAGCAGCGAGATCTACAGACAACCTTTTAAATGGTTCAATTCTAGATGCACTAGAACGTGTTCCCCACTTCCCGATATACCCCGACAATCAAGAACTTCCAAAGAACTCCTTAATTTAGGTGAGTAGACAATCATTAAGAGAGAAGTCAGATATAGAAATGCATATGTTGTTCCCCAGGTCGGATCTCTTCCAATCACGCAGAAGGGGACAACATGTGACTAACACAGATAGATGGGTTGAGAGGTATAATGTTGCATATGCTGTGTTCCAGATCAGATCTATTCCAATCACGCAGATGAGACAACATATGACTAACAGATAGAAAGAATTGCATAGATAAGAAGATGCATAGATATAGAGTTGCATATGTTGCATTCCAGGTCGGATCTTCCGATCACGCAGAGGAGTCAACATATGACTGACAGAAAGAAAGCAAGAAAACAATTTCCTATAGACCTATTTTATCAGAACCCTCCAATCACCCTATCAGTACCGAAATTAAGGAAATAAATCTGTACATCGAGAAAGTGTTAAGCCACAGTTCTAGATACATATGACTTTAATGTATCTCACAAGCTCCCATGTTTATCTCACTTCTCAACCTATCCGAGCGTCGTATGGTCAGTCTAAATGAAACTATCTAAGTCCACATTGTCAAGTCCTTTCATTGTCAGCTATGTCTAGTCCTTTTGAATCCTTCGTGCCTACCATCACATTGAACACAGAGTCCAAACAATTTAGTTTTAGTGTATTACATGCATCTCAGAATTGCCTTTTAGCACAAACCTTCATATCACTTCCCAAAAAAACTTACGAAAGAAAACATATATATATATATATATATATATATATATATATATATATATATATATATATATATATATATATATATGTATATATTGATTTCTCCCCATAAACTTGTGCATGGGAAAGAAATAAAATAAGGAGATAAAATAAAATAAAAAAGATTTAATCTTCGAAACAAATCATTTTTAGAAAGCCCACAAGCACATCGAAATGAGATTTACTGAAAGGTTTGGTAAAAAAATCTGCCACATTGTTATCAGTGTGAATTTGTCCCAAACGAATGAGTTTACGCTCATAACAGTCTCGAATAAAATGAATTTTAATGTCAATGTGCTTGGTTTTGGAATGTTGAACCGGATTTTTATCAATTTGAATGGCCGCATTATTATCACAAAAAATGGAAGTGTCAAGAAAATTTAAACTGTAATGCAGCAATTGATGTTGAATCCAGATAACCTGAGAGCAGCAGGTTGAGGCAGCAACATATTCAGCCTCAGCTGTTGAGGTCGACACCGTTTGCTGTTTCTTGCATTGCCATGACACCAATTGGTTCCCTAAAAACTGACATCCACCCGATGTAGATTTCCTGTCAAGATTACACCATCCATAATTGTTGCCAGCAAACGCATATAAATCGAAATCTAGATTTTTAGGTTACCAAAGACCCAGTTTAGGGCTACCTTTAAGATACCTAAAAATCCTTTTAACAACAATTAAATGGGAAAGTTCAGGATGAGCCTGATAGCGGGCACATTGACAGACGGCAAACATGATGTCAGGTCTACTGGTAGTTAGATACATCAGAGATCCGATCATCGATCGATTTTCAGTTTTATATACGGATTCCCCATCTGTATCCGGAGTCAACAGAGGCCTTTCTGCCATTGGAGTCGAAGCAATTTTTGAATCTTTAATATCAAACTTTTCTAGTATGTCTTCCACATATTTGCTTTGATGCAATAAAATTCTGGGCGAATCCTGTCGAACCTTTAACCCTAGGAACATTGTCATCTCACCCAGTGAGCTCATCTCAAATCTTTTCTTCATTACATCCTCGAACTCTTTGCATAGCTCCGTGCTGGTCGATCCGAAGATGATATCGTCTACATAGATCTGTTCAACAATCAAGTCTGCATCCACTTTCTTGATGAATAAGGTCTGATCGATCGTTCCCCTTGTGTATCCGTGCTCAAGAAAATGTTTAGTTAGAGTAGCATACCAAGCTCTAGGAGCCTGATGCAACCCATATAGAGCCTTGTCCAACTTGTATACATGATTTGGAAACTTTGGATTGACAAACCCTGGTGGTTGATCAACATAAATCTCCTCCTTCACGACTCCCTACAAGAAGGCTGTCTTGACATCCATTTGATAAACTGTAAATCCCATGTAGGAAGCATATGCTAGGAATATACAAATGGCTTCCAAACGTACTACAGGAGCATATACTTCTGTGTAGTCAAGACCCACTATCTGCCTGAATCCACGAATGACCAAACGAGCTTTATTGTGCACAATAACCCCACTATCATCTGCTTATTTTTGAAAACCCAACGTGTGTCCAAAGACTTCTTTCCCTTTGGTAGCTCTACCAACTGCCATACTCTCAACTTCTCAAACTGATTTAGTTCTTCATGCATTGCATCTACCCAGCTAGGTTCATTCAATGCCATGGCCACACTCTTTGGTTCGATTTGGGATATGAAGCACAAATAGAGACATTCGTTGACATCTCCACTTTGACTTCTGGTCTGAACCCCGCTTTCCATTGGACCGATAATGTTCTGGATAGGATGATCGTGTTGAAATCTGGTTGGAATAGGATGGCTGATATCATTTACTATGACTGGAAGGTTGGTGATGTTGTCAAATTTTCTCGCTGCCGAATCACCTTCATCCGACTGTCTGTGATCTTGAGAGGTACTTGGTACAAATTCATTTCCGAATGGCTCTGGAATGAGAAACTCCATGAAGGTTTGAGTGGCATATACATTTTCCCTTGAGAGAACCTCAACTTCTTCAGAAGTAGGAGACGTAGCTTCGATGTCAGATATATCCTTTTGGACAGGTGAAGAAGACGATGTATTTGGTGTGGCTGCATTCAACGTAGGAGAGTCAAGAACCACCACAAATGGTTTGAATGAGACAATGCAAACATCTTCCTCATCATCTCCAACAACTGCACTCGAACCTGAGCATGTACCTGAAATATCATCTGAAAACACATTAAAAGATTTAAACAAAGAAGTGTAATCAAATAACCAATCTGGTCCAACTCGAGCGTCCATTGTGTTTTCTTCCAGCCAGCGCACATCAAAAGACTCCACGATCTGTTTGGTGGATTTGTTGTAGACTCGATAAGCAGTGCGTCCAACATATCCCACGAAATAGCAGTCATCAGCCTTTGAGTTAAATTTAGGAGTTGATTCCAGGTGAAGTAGTGTGCAAGGGCATCCAAAAATCCTGAAATGGGAAACTGTCGGCTTATGACCATACATAATTTCATATGGAGTCTTCATCTGCTGTTTGTTGATCAGAACACGGTTCTGAACATAA